ACACCTGTATCCTAGCACTCTGGGAGACAGAGGCAAGTGGATTGCCCTGAGCTCACAGGTTCAAGACCAGCCTGAGCAAGAGTAAAACCTTGTCTCTAAAAATAGCTGGGTCTTATGGCAGGTACCTATAATCCCAGCCACTTGGGAGGCTGAGGCAAGAGAATTGCTTGAGCCCAAGAGTTGGTGGTTGCTGTGAGCTGTGATGCCACAGCTCTCTACTGAGGGTGACAAAGTGAGACTCTGTCTCAAAAAAAAAAAAAAAGGAATCTTGAAATAGAAACAGGAGAAGAAAATATAATTTAAGTGAAAACAGAATATGGGCAGAGAGTTGGTAGACATTTGCCTAAAAACTATAACTTCCTGAATTGCTTACTTGATGGAAAATATGAGATTTAACACATTTGAGAAAGAAGCAGTGACAATTTTGCTCTTATAAAACATATTTTAGGAACGACACTTTGGAATTTTAGGAATGGGGTATTCTTTAGAATAAATTTTATTTTTAAGATAGTTTGGAATTTCTGGCTAACAAAGTCCATGTGCAATAGTTGATATTTTTAAAAGTGACAGAAAAATAGATCATTGGGAAGCCACAGCACTGGTCTGAAATTGAGTTGCCACTCCTTGTGCCTGTTGCCATGCGGGACCACATGCTCCCTGGGCACTCTGGGTTAGGGTTAGGGTCAGAAGCCCATGTGCCACGCACAGAGGCTGGGAAAGTGGGCACACAGGAAGCCAAAGCCCTGACCACCCAGCTCTCCTGCTCTGGCCCGTCTTCCATGTGGGCGCCTGTTTCTGGCAGTGTCTGCTCGCATGCCCCCTGCCCAGGCTGTGCTGTCTATTTGGACAGGACAAAGTGCAGGAACACTGGAATCCCAGTAGTGGCTCAACCCCACATCCAGACCTGTGCTTCCTTAGGGTGCAGCTGAGAGGTAGAACAGATCGGGTAACAATCGCAAGGTGTATTGTGCTTGTGCTGATCTGGCTGTACACACTACTGATGTGCCCACCCTCATTTCAGAAGGAAAAATACAAGTGAAGAGTCACAGTGTTTGTTCACAGGTCCAAATGGTGACAGAGCAGCTTTGTTGGTCAAGAGTGGAAATGATAAACTGTGTTTTCTTGGAACTTCCCTAGGGATCAGTAATTCAACACCATTTGTAAAAAAAAAAAAAAAGACTAACATTTTAGAGTCCAAAACACCTTTGAAAGGCTTATACTTTACATTGCTGTTAAGTGCTGGGCAGGTGCTCGAAGGCCCAAGATGAGACACAGCAGGGAACAGTTGGACCCAGCAGCCCCTTAGACCAGGAGAGGACAGATTGCAAAGGCAGAGGAGACCTGAGCTGCACTGTTTGGACTTGGCACAACTCAAAGGCATCGCAGTGGCCCCTGTGTTAGGAGGGGAGAGGGCTTCTGGGAAAAGACAGGTCTGGGCTTTTCCTCCTTTCTGGGTCCTCTGCCTCAGCCCTGCTTTGAGTGTGTGAGGTGGGCAAGTAGGATGGTCACTGTCCAAATGTGTTCTATCCTAGTCTCAGGGCAGAAAGTACATACTTCTGATGGGCTTTCTGGGCCAGACCCCAAAGGCCCTGGGTTATCCTGGGTTTGTGTCAGAGATAGTGTCTGGGGAAGAATGGGCAGAGCCATATCACTCCATCCTCCCAGGCAGTAGTCCACCCACTTGCTCCCATCACCACACAGTGGCCTCAGCCCCCTGCACAAGGTATAGCCCCCACAAGGGGCCCCCCACATCCTTCTCTGTGCCCCACAGCTCTGGGTTGAAGCCTCAATCCAGTCCACATTGACCTGGCCAGAGCACTTACCACCTGGGGAGGGCAAGTGGGATGCCCCAGCTGCACAGACACATATGTGGTCAAGCCGCTGGGAGTGTGCCTTGGCCAGCAGTCAGTGCTCCCAGGAGTAGACAGTGAAAACAGGTGGCTCTGGGGTATGGGTGTGTCTGAAAATCTGTGAGTCTGATTGTGCAAAGAAAGAGTGCTGGGAATAGCCTTACTTCACCCTGCAGGAACACAGAGCTACAGCTGGGGCTGCTAACCCTTCACAAGGTGGAACTTGGCCCTAAATACCTAGGACCTGGCAGTCGGCCGGTTAGGGATAGCCGCCTACAAGGACGAGCATGTGGGCAGCCTCTAGCACCAGCAGGCACCTCTGGTGATGTAGGTTTGTTGGAAGGATCACCCTCTGGAAAGTGCTTGGACTTGTCATCCAAGAGTAGACTTGGGAAGGGCCCACGTGATGGAAACAGGCAGAGAGCTGTGCCTCCAGAGCTACCCTGACCCACCTGGGCCTCCTCATGTTAGAGTGAGCCTGTAATGGAGTCAGAAGTCTTTGCTTGGGTTTTGTTTTCAGACTTGGGAGAGCCCACTTTGTCCTAGGCCCTCAGCTAATCCACTTCAGCAACGTCAGCATTTCTTCTCCCCTCACACCCTGGCATTCCAGTCTCAAGGCATCTTCTGTGTAATCATATTTAAAATTAGGTCTGTGTCTCTTTCTCCCATTAGCCTCATGATTCCTTCAGGACAGGGCCTTTATCCACTGTCTGTGTCCAAAGTCACTGAGTATGCCTTTGCTGGGTTTGCAAGGTACTGAGAGGCTAGGCAGTGACCAAGTTCTGAGATACCATGTTATACTCGTATAATACAAGAAGAAAATACCAACAACTATATCCATGCACATGTATGTGAACTTGCAGAAGAGGGCTAGAAGGACACATAACCTCTGGGGGTAACACCTGGAGGATGAATGTCATCAGTGTGATTATTACAAGGCGTCTTGTTTCAGAAGTCCTCCTGGGCCTTGAGGTCTTGGTGTGGGGCAGATGATGATCCCATTGATGTGATTGGTGATCCAGTCACAAAGCAGGAGGTGCTGAGTGACATAGGCACTGGCTCCAGGATGAGAGCTGTCCTCACCCTTTCAAGAGCCTTCTCTCTATGTGGGCAGCCTTTCTCACACTGCCTGAGTGCTGCCAGTGTTTCCTCATCCACAAAGAAAATCCTAATGGGGCCCCTGCTCACCAAAACATTGCCAGGCTGAGCTCTGGGCCTATGGTCCTTCCTCCTAGGAGCAGAGTCTGCTTGGTTCCCAGTCCCAACCTGAGTGTACTTGGCACACCTGCGTGCTGTTAGGAACATGATATTAGATTCCTGTAAGTTAAAAGATATATTGCACCTTCTGAGAGAGAACTAAGCCCAGAGAATTTTTCTTGTTAAGGATTCGCCTTCTCTTTTCTCATACCCAACTTTTCCTGCCCATGCTGCCTGTGGATTCTTTCTTTCTAATCTTCAGTCTTTTAACAGCCACACAACTGAAGAAGGAAGGCCATTCTGGTGAAGGCAGGGTCACTCCTCAGAGAAATAGCCTTTGTAACAGGGAGTGTTATGGAGAACCCAGGCCAGGTTTTTACTGGCAAAGTAAAGGAAGTCAGCCTCCCAGGCCATGAGAGGCAGAATGAAGAGTACTGGTGTCTGGGGAGGAAGGTCTCTAGGGGAGCCAGCCACTCTACTTGCTCTGTGGAGAACCTCACGTGCCCGAAACAAAGAAGCTTCATATAAAAATGAAAGTGTGAAATAAGATATTTTTCTGACATGAGGATAATGCATTTTTTCTGAGTTTCCAAACACTACCTGTTTATTCCTTTAAAATGTTTTAGACTGGCTCAGTGCCTGTGGCTCAAGTGGCTAAGGTGCCAGCCACATACACCTAAGGTGGCGGGTTCGAATCCAACCCAGGCCCGCCAAACAACAATGACGGCTGCAGCCAAAAAATAGCCAGGCGTTGTGGCGGGCGCCTATAGTCCCAGCTACTTGGGAGGCGGAGGCAGGAGACTCGCTTGAGCCCAGGAGTTGGAGGTTGCTGTGAGCCGTGATGCTATTGCATTCTACCCAGGGTGACAGCTTGAGGCTCTGTCTCAAAAAAAAAAAAAACATTTTAGACTAAGCTCCTTATAGTGTCTTTCTTGTTGATAAATTCCTTTATCTTGTTTTATTATGCTGTAGCCCAACTTTAGGGTAAAGTGTTCACAGCTCCACAAGCACATGGTGTCATGCTGGGGGCAGGTGAGTGTTCTGGGTGGGGTCCTGGAGTCCCTCGGAGTCCCTGAGGACACCTGGGAAGTGAGCGTGTGCTGCCCTGGGTCTGGAGGCCGGGCAGGTTGGTGAATTCCAGGGCCTCATCTGCAGGTCTCTGCTTATCAGCTGGGAACCAAAAATGCATGGCCATGACTCACACTACCCGCTGAGTAGCAACTCCCATTATAGAGAGCTACTAGTCAGCAAACACTGTAATTTGTGGGTACTTACATACAGGAAGAAAAGAAAAAAGTATGGAAAGTTTTTCTTACTTGTGATTAACTTAAAGAAAAAAAAAAGAACTGAGTATCTTACAATTGAAAAAGAGGAAATATATAGGAGGATCATTTGGGGGAACTTAACTGGGTAAAGCTAAAGACACTGTGGTCCAGCCTCAGGGTCTCAACCCAGGCCACTCAGCTGCCTCTCTTTGTTTCAGGCTCTTGACCTTAAATTATTTTGCTTGGATGCCTGGGGACCCATTTGGAGCCTGCAAGGCCCATGTGTGGACTACATGATGACTTTTTTTGCTTATCTGTGGTGGCAGAGATCATGAAATTATGCATGGACCTTTGTTTGCTTTTGTTGGTGTTTGTTATTTAAGGTGTGCCCAAGAGAACTCTTCTTCCAGAGTGGCGCAAAGAAGACAAAAAACTGGACACCCCTGGGAGAGAGTTGATTTTAGGGGGGTGATTGCAACTGACTTGGCCTCAAATGTTGGCCAGTGCCCTCTGCTTAGATCAGCTCCCTGGGGTTGGGGTACTGAACTCTGGGTGAAACAGTGACTTACTCCCGCAACTGTCTGCCAGGGTTCACACCAGGAGGAAGATACAGGTAGCATGGGCCTTAGCCCTCCGCGTGTTCCTCTTTGTGATGTGCATCTAACTGCCCTTCTGTGTCCTATTTCAGAAGAGGCAGACCACTACAACTTTGGGGCAGGCACTCTGTCGCGGAAGAAGAAGGTGCTGGTGGCCCTGCGGGATGAGGGCCTGCGCCGGCGAACACACCTGGACATCAGTATGCCGCACGACTTTCGCCCAGTTTCCTCTGTCATCGACGTGGACATCCTCCCCGAGACACACCGCCGCGTGAGGCTGTACCGGCATGGCTGCGAGAAGCCACTAGGCTTCTACATCCGTGATGGCACCAGCGTGCGGGTGACACCGCATGGGCTAGAGAAGGTGCCAGGCATCTTCATCTCACGCATGGTGCCCGGGGGGCTGGCAGAGAGCACTGGGCTGCTGGCCGTGAATGACGAAGTCCTAGAGGTAAACGGGATCGAAGTGGCAGGGAAGACGCTGGACCAGGTCACGGACATGATGATCGCCAACAGCCACAACCTCATCATCACTGTCAAGCCCGCCAACCAGAGAAACAACGTGGTGCGTGGTGGCCGTGCCCCTGGCGGCGGGGGACAGTCCTCGGATGGCCCCCCGACCGCCCATGTCCTGCAGAACTTTCACCCCGATGAAGCAGAGAGCGACGAGGACGCCGACATAGTCATCGAGGGTGCCGCAGCCCCCTTGGCCCCAACAAGGGGCGTGCCCCTGGGGGGCCTTCCCCGTGCCAATGGTACCAGCCTGGCACCTCGCCGGCCATGGGACACGGCCCTACATGGCATGGGGCGTGAGGGCAGCACACACAGACTGCTCAGCACAATGCGTCCAGACCCGCGCCACCACCTGGTGATCCCACGCGGTGGTGTGGAGGAGCACGGACCCGCACTCACACTCTAGCCAGCCCTCCTGGCCCACACTGTGGGAGACAGTTCTTAAATGTGTTTTCCAGTTCTATAGGAAGAAGACAGTTATATGCTTCATCCCCTCCCTTTTCTCCCATAACTCTGCTCTTTATTTCAGCTTCTAGATAGAAAATAAAAATTCTGTCTCCTTACAGGATTTCTCTACAGGACTTAAAACACAAGTGCACTCTCTGCTAGGCCTGTGTGCAGGTCCACGCACCTCTGCAGAGTGATACAAAACATTTAAGTCCAGAAAATGCTTCATTTCTAGATTTGAGAAATACTTCAGTTTTTATATAAAGCTTTAAAATTACTTTTTTTAAATAGTCAAATTCATGTTTTTAACTTAACTCATGCAAAAAATAACCTGTGACTTCAGCACAATATTTTCACCACTCTTTCTGCTGACTTGTAGGTAAGTCTGGCTGTGCTAAAGGGCCCACATGTGACAAAAGACTGGTTTTTAAGCACAAAAAACCTGTAACAGGTATGACCACAAACCTGTGATACGTATGACCACAAAATGTACCCAAACTTGTAATAGGTATGACCACAAAAGATGGATTGCAAATGCTAGTGTTGTTTTTCGTCAAAAAGCCAAATGGTATCCCTGGGCCAGGAGAACTTCCCACTGGTGCAGTCCTGGCCCTGCAGCTATGGAATCTCTGAAGAGGCCTTCCTCAGCCTTACAGGGTGACTGTGACTTGGGGACACAGCCAGTTCAGCACTGTCCCCTGGGATCAATTCTGAGAGCAGTTTTTGAAATGTTTTCAGCAGAGATGATGGGTAAGCACTGCACACCTCTGGCAAGGCCTTTGAAATCACAGTCATTTGGGTGTAAGAGTTCTGTTGTCTTTGTTTTTCTAAAACAGCCATTTCTACAAAATAATAATAAAACAGCCATTTCTTTTTATAAGTAACAAATACATGCTCATTTTAATTTCTGGAATACTTGTAGATGATCAGTGGTCAGCATTCTAATGTTATTTATTCTAGCCACTTGGAACATAACGATCTTTAACAGGTGTTCAATTCATCCTCACTTGACTTTAATCTAGTAACATCTACATATTTAGCAATTTTAAAGGTTTATTCGTGTTTTATACAATTAAATTTTATATGAAGTATGTTTGAATACAACATCAGGGAGAAACTGTTACATTTATACTTGGGGAAATAAAGTTCGACCAACTAAATCTTTCATAGAAATACAGGTAAAAATATTTTTCTAGGTCGGCAGAGCTGTGAGCGCCTCCTGCTGCTCCTCCTGTGGTCCTGCACCACCTGCTGGTCAATGACAGAACTGTCCTGACTTCATGAATGTTGGGGTGATAAGATGGAAAATGGTGCATTTTAATATTTTTATTTTTCCTGACTATTAAGTGAAAAGTGCATTATTTCATTTTGAAAGCTATTATTGGAAAGAAAGAGCTTTCTCTGAGTCAGCAGTTCTCAACCTTCCTAATGCCGCAACCCTTTAATACAGTTCCTGTGGGTCAAGACCCACAGGTTCAGAACCATCGTTCTGAGTAGTCGTGCCTCTCAGCACCTGTTTGAGTTTGTTATTTGTATGCAGTGGGTGACTGGCGTTGACAAAGCCAGAGATGCTTTGACAAGTCTTGGGATAGGGATCCAACCTCAGAGCTTAGGGGCTCTCATGAACTGCAAGAGCATCTTATTTGATACCCTAGCAGTGAGGAGTTTACCAAGACAAGTATTATAGAACCTAAATTCTAATAAGTTACTATCACAAAGAAAATATTCTTTTCCTAAGTTATTGCTGGTTATTGAGTATCTGTTAAACAACTGTACCTGTGACCGAAGAAGAAAGTTGTATTTCTTACCATGTTTTAAGTCATTAAGCAAATGTGAATAATTTTTTTAAGAAAAAAAAGTGCTGTCTGAGATTTGCGTGCTGTTGTTCATAATTTTAGGAATTATGAACTGCTTGAAATAGATGCTTGAATGTATTTTTCTACCCAGGTTACTTTTGCTATTTTCTTCTTTTAAACATACAAAAAAAAAAAAACTATGGTGTCATATGTATTAAAGTTTTCTTGGTTTTATATAGCAAAATAAAAACCTTTTAAGTTAAAATATATTGATGTTATATTTTAGTTGTGTTCCAAATAGAGGGAGGATATAAGTGCTGATAGCAGAGACAATCACTGCAAAGGAGATGATGCATTTATGAAGTGCTTCCCCCTCACACATTCTCTGTGAGGCAAGTATCATTACTATTTTATACATGAGAAAATAGGCCCAAGTTCAGACAGACAGATGACAGTCCAGAACCCTCTTTTAAAGTCCTTTTGAAAAAAGGTTTTCTTTTTTTAAATTTTTATTTATTTATTTTTTTGAAACAGAGTCTCACTATGTCGCCCTTGGTAGACTGCTGTGGTGTCATAGCTCACAGCAACCTCCAACTCTTGGGCTCAAGCAAGTCTCTTGCCTCGGCCTCCCAAGTAGCTGGGTCTACAGGTGCCCACCACAGCCCCCAGCTATTTTTAGAGATGAGGTCTCCCTCTGGCTTAGGCTGGTCTCGAACCTGTGAGCTCAGATCCCACCCTCCTCGGTCTCCCAGAGTGCTAGAATTACAGTCATGAGCCACTGTGCCCAGCCTGAAAAAGATTTTCTTAATATTTATTCAGCCCTTCCTAAATATATCCTGGTTTGAAGAATTTTCATTAGCACCATCATTCTGACATTATTGAATTTATAATGCACAGCCGTCAAGGCCTACTCACTCTGGCTGGGCACAGGGGCTCATGACTGTAATCCTAACACTTTGGGAGGCTCAGGCAGGAAGATCACTTGGGAGTTTGAGCTGCATTGAGCTACAGTGATTCCACTGCACACTAGCCAGGTGACACAGCAAGATCTTGTTTCAGAAAAAATATATATATATAAATTTACTCAACAAAGTACAAATACTGAGATATTAGCAATGAGAATTTTCCAGTAATTCCTGGAAAAAGTACAACACTGCCAGGAGCTTAACAAATATTCCTCACCTACTGAACCTTAGGACACTGACTTGTAGGCAGCCATTGCCAGTTTGGAGTTGAGTAAACTCACACCCCTGGACACCTGCCACTTAGAGTCTGCTGAGACAGAGCTGACAGGTCTCACAGCTGCACTTGGCACAGTGTGAGATGCAGGATTGCCTGAAGCAGGGTCCACACACACGTTGCTGCCAGGGACAGGCTTCCCTGACTAAGTGTCCACATCCCCACCCCCCGCAGCTGGGAGGAGCCAACTTTGAGAATCAATGAGGTTATTTAGTATCTAAGTTTTGCATGAAGTACTCAAAGACAGGGAGTGTAGATGTCTTACGCAAGTTGTGGCAAGTCACACAGATATCTGGAAAGCAAACTGATTGATACAAAATCTATTTTACCCAAACTCTGAGAAATTTTCCAACAGAAGGTCAGGACTTCACCTCTGTTGAATGTTTTAAAAGGATACAAATATGAATCAGTGTGGTAGATGTGTGCCCTTGTAATCCTTACATGAAAATAGATACTACAATGGATGGCAGGTGGTTTTGTAAAAACAAACAAACAACTCAACCGCACATGAAAAAGAAGAAACAACTGTAAAGATTTTTATGGTAGCAGTAACAGTCACATGGTCTGAATGGTTTAACTTATTAAAATGATAACAAGGCTGAGCTAACAGTCAATTCCTAAATGCATCAAAATATTTAAAGAGTACTATTTCTACTGATAGTATCAACCTACCTAGCTGATTTCCAACTTAACCTTTTCTAGGAAGAAAAGCTGGTCAGTGTGAGCTGAAGGACTTCTCATTTCACCTCAAGACAGTCTCACTCTGTTGCCCAGACTGGAGTGCAGTGGCATCACAGCTCACAGAGACCTCTATCTCCTGGGTTCAAGTAATCCTCCTGCCTAGGCCCCCTGAGTAGCCAGGACTACAAGTGCCTGGCTAATTTTTCCATTTTTAGTAGAAATGAGATCTCATTATTGCTCAGGCTAGTCTCAAATACCTGAACTCAAGAGATCCTCCTGCCTCGGATTCCCAGAGCACTGGGATCACAGGTGTGAGCCACCCTGCCTGGCCTGGACTTCTCACTTCAAGCAGGCTCTCCCTCATTCAACCAGAGGGCTTGTTAAAACACAGTGCCAGGCCTATGCCAAATCTCTGATTTGGAGATCGTGGGTGGAGCTTGAGAATTTTCATTTCTAACAAGTCCTCCAGTACTACCACTGCTGATGTTCCAGAAATGACATGAGGAGGTCCACTGGCTAATGCCCCCCTAAAAATGGTTGTCAAGGCTCAGCACCTTTAGCTCAGTGGTTAGAGTGCCAGCCACATGCACTGGGGCTGGCAGGTTCAAACCCGGCCAGGCCTACCAAACAACAATGACAACTACAACAAAAAAAAAAAAAA